ATTGCATGATTACATTAATAAGTGTAATAATAAGTTAGTGGAAAGCCAAAAGTTATATGACATTGATACAGACTACCTAACTTCAAAAATCAATAGTTTAGAATCTTCGCTTCATGATTTAAATACAAAGTATATTATCTCTCAGAAACAAATCCAGGAGCATATTTTAGCAATGGATGATCTGATTGATGTCAGTAAATACAATGCTGACCGTTTTGAGTCGTTGACTAAGCATTGTACATGTAATCACACAAATATATCAAATAATAATTCAGTTGTAACTGTGCTGGAAAATGAAGTTCAGGGTGTTTGTGCCAGTGACTGTAACCCTAAGAGTAGCACAATGGTGTTCTCTGACAGAATAGGCTGTAACTTTGGGTCTATATTGAAGTATCATCTTAAGGGTGATTTATTAAACTACTGCATGCCAGAAGCATCATTTACACAAATAATAAATAAAATTAAGTCTACGAAAATGAACAATATGACCACAATTGTGTTATTTTTTGGTAATAGTATTCAATTAAATAGGCAGGATGTAATTAGAGGAATTGAATATTTATTACAATTAAATGTGTATAAGATTGTATTGTGCGCTTTTCCTTACACAAATAGACATCTTCATAAAAAAATTAACAGTAAGGTACATTACCTGAATAACTTATTACATACATTGACATGTCGTCATAGTGACATTTTGACATTTTTTGATACTAATAGTTTTATTAGTGATTTTTATTTGACAAAAGATACAATGTATCTTTCTAAATCATCTAAAAATAAAATAGCCACTTTAGTGGCTTATAATATTGACTACATGAACAGTTTACATGGTAAACTTAAACATAAAAATGCTGACATAACAGATAATTCTATTAATATTTGTGACATAAGTACTATGACTGCAGATTTAAACTGCTCACAAAGACAAAGGGAAAGCAATCAGAATTAATAATTGTTCATCAGAACATACAAAGTTTTCCCGGCAGCGAGTTAATTATACAATTATTTTTAGAAAAGTATAATATTGATATTGTCTGTTTCACAGAACATTGGCTTAAAGAAAGCAATATGATGTTCAATTTAAATAATTATAACGTTGTCAGCTGCTTCAATAGAAAGTCAGTTAACAGAGGCGGGTCTATGATAATTGCAAGAAATAATATTAAAGTAAAGGAACGTGCTGACATTGTTAGACTTTCTATTGAGTGTTGTATAGAATTATCTTGTATAGAACTAGAAAATTATATCCTTATATGTGTGTACAGGCCTCCTAATAGTGATTACAATGTTTTTGAAGGGGTGATGGAGGATATTTTAAAAAAAGTATTTAATAGTATTAAAAAAATTATTGTATGTGGAGATTTTAACGTTGATATTCTTTGTAACACACCCACATGTACAAAAATTATTAGTTTATTTCAGTCATTTGATTTATGTCATGTCTTTCATGAACCCACTCGTGTAACTGCCACGTCTGCTACTTGTCTTGACAATGTTTTTTGTAACTGCGAGTATACAGAAAAATTCATAATAAATAAACTTCCTTCAGATCACTGTGGTCAAGTTGTTAAGTTTAGCAGTCAAATCAATAAAGTCAACAATAATAAAAAATCAAAAAGACAAATAAACGTTTACAATATTAATAAATACAAAAGCGCGATTAAAAATAAATTGGATTTGCTGTTACAATCTAGTAATAATCCTGATTATCTTTACACCAAGCTAATTAATATTTTATCCGGAGAATATGAACAATTTTTCAAGAAAAAAGAAGTTCATGTTAAATCTAAATTCACGGAATGGGCAACAGTAGGAATACTTAAAAGTAGAAATATTTTGTTTGATTTATACGATCAAAAAAAATATCGATTTGATGACAAATTCACCACTTATGTAAAAAATTATTCTAAAATTTTTAAAAAAGTTTGTATTATGGCTAAGTCTAATTATTTTAATAAACAAATTAAGCAGTCTTCTGACAAAATTAAAACCATCTGGAGCATTATAAATAAAGAAACTGGAAGATCTAAAATAGCCTGTAATCAATTTACATTAAATTATGATAATAAATTAATAACAACAACAAAAGATGTAGTTAATATTTTTGAAGATTTTTTTGCTAATATTCCGATTGATATTACATCTTCTCTGGACTCATCTCAATCTCGAGCAAAAAAATTACTAGAGACTAATATCGGTTGTTGTTCTTTAAGATTTAAATTTTCACATGTTAGCCCCTTTCATATCATAAAAATATTCAAACAGCTAAATTTAAAAAATACGGAAGACCTTTGGGGCATGTCTGTAAAAGTAGTTAGTTCTTTCATAGATATTGTTGCTCCATATCTAGCCACTATTTTTAATAAATGTATTGATAATGGCGTTTTTCCACATTTAATGAAATTTAGCAAATTAATCCCACTATTTAAATCAGGAGATAAATTTGAGCCAGGGAACTATAGACCTATATCTATTTTGCCAGTTCTAAGTAAGGTGTTTGAAAAGATAATGTTAAATCAAATGTTACATCACTTCAGGGTTAACGGACTGCTTCACAGTCAGCAATATGGTTTCACCGCCGGCAAGTCTACCACTGACGCAGGTGTTGCGCTAATGACACATATTTTCGAATCTTGGGAGAGGTCACAGGATGCACTCGGAGTTTTTTGTGACCTATCAAAGGCATTTGATTGTGTGGATCATAAAACGCTTTTGTACAAGCTCGAACATTATGGTATAAGAGATAATGATCTAAAATTAATGAGAACTTATTTAGAGGATAGGGTTCAAACTGTAGATATTGACGGTGTAAAATCTAAGGGAGCTAATATTAAGATGGGCGTTCCACAAGGGTCAATCTTAGGCCCCTTTCTCTTTTTAATCTACATAAATGACCTTCCCTTTATGGTAGAGAAAATTGCAGATATAGTGCTGTTTGCGGATGATACTTCGTTAGTGTTTAAAATTGGACGTCAAAGTAATCAATTAGACGATGTAAATTGTGCTATGTCTGCAATATTAAATTGGTTTACATGTAATAACCTATTATTAAATTCCAGCAAAACAAAGTGTATAAAATTTACACTTCCTAATGTAAGACTAATAAATACACAGTTATTGCTTAATGACGAAATAGTAAATTTTGTTAATGATACAGTTTTTTTAGGTATAACAGTGGACTCGAAATTACAATGGGGGCCCCATATTTCAAAATTGGCCAGTAGACTCAGTTCTGCTGCATATGCAATTAGAAGAATTAGGCAATTAACAGACGTGGCGACGGCTAAACTTGTATATTTTAGTTATTTCCATAGCATAATGTCTTATGGCATACTGCTGTGGGGTAAAGCAGCCGATATAAATACTATATTTGTTTTACAAAAGAGAGCCATACGTTCTATTTATGGTATGGGTTCAAGAGAGTCATTACGTCAGTGCTTTAAAGACTCAAATATCCTCACAGTTACTTCACAATACATTTATGAAAATATTATGTATACACGGAAGAACTTAGCGAGTTTTAAAAAACTCAAAGACTGTACAAGTAGAAACTTACGCAATATAAATAAGCTTATTTTACCTAAATGCCGTCTGCACAAAATCAGTAATTCATTCTATGGTAATTGCATAAGATTTTATAATAAACTGCCGGAATCTGCATTAAATCTGACAGAGAGGCAATTCAAATCTTATATTAAACAATTTTTATGTAAGAAAGCCTATTACAGGATAGACGAATTCATAGATGACAACATATCAAGTAAATAATTAGTTTATTAGCATACAACGTTATAATTTTATTTTCTCATTGCTTTCTTGATTTAATTGATTAATTTTAGAAATATGAAAGCGTAGCGGTTTTTTGTATTAATTGCCGCATGCATTCTTATGTAAAATGTGAATACTATAACTATCAGATGGCAATTGTGAGTAGCTTTGACGTGGTCTAGTGTTTTGAGTAGTCATGCTCACTAAAATGTCCAGACTTGTGGCGGCGTGGTGGGCCGGGTCATTGGGCTCCCTAAAATATGGTCGAGCGCAGTGATGGCTGGCTCATCCGTCATACTCGTGAACGGGTGCTGCTTGTAGGGACTGGTCTGCTCTAATCACTATGACTGATTTCCTCTTATTAATTGTTTAACCAGTTGGTTATGTATTCAATTTTTTTTTTTCTTTTTGAGTATTTAATTGAATTAGTGCTAATTGGTGGTTTGTATTCACACAATTAAACTTAAAAATGTAAAATAATAATAAAATTATTTAAAAGAGCATCACGCAAGTTTCTTGCTCGTTCTTCTTGTGATGAGACAGCTTTCCGAACGAGCGGTAAATTAAAAAAAATGTAATGACTTTTCAAAAGTGCTTCAATGTAAGTTTATTTGAATAAATGATTTCTATTCTATTCTATTCTATTAATCTATAACTCACAGTTCTTTAACGGCTTAACCAATCCCTATGAAATTTGGTTTATACGTTAGTATGTATAATATATTTTTTTTTAATAGCTGATAATGGAATGGTAACCCCGCACGCACTAACGGTATACGTTGACAGGGCACCAGTGAGAGATGATAGGTGAGAATGAAAAGGCGGGTCACAATCCCCATCTAAAAAAAAGCTTGAATGTGACACAAAAAACCCCATTAAAAAAATGATCCGCCTTTTATAGAATTCATTTGTTACAAAAAATGTGATAAATGAAGAACCGCTCGACGGATTTTGTGCAAACTTCATTTAAACCATCTACTAAATAGTCCGAACAAAGCCTAAACATTTGGTTTGAATAGGTGAGCCCGTTCTTGAGTTATAAAATTACAACGAAAAGTGGCATTGATTTATATATATATATATATATATATGGGATAAAGATGGATATATGTAGGTAACTGTTAATCCTGGCCAGTGAATATACCCCGGTCACGTGAACAAAGTCGCCGGTAAAAGCTAGTGAGCTCATAAAGGAAGGGATGAACAGTGACAGACGTAGAGCAGCTTACCGTTAGCGTGATGCCACCGCGGCGGGTCATCGTCAAATAATACCCGTCGTACAGTATATCCCTCTCGTTGTCAAACACTGGACACTGGAAATAATTAAAAGAAACGTTAATTTATTTATTTATTTGTTCATATAGTTTGTTGTTATTTATAATACACTTAGTGTAAATCAGTGGTTTTCAAAGTGTGAGTCGCGACCTTCGGTGGGACCCAAGCACGTGCAAGGGGGTCGCGCAAGATCGCGAAGCTTTAAAAAATAACAATTTCGCAATGTAATCGATGTCTGTTTGAGATATTACACTTCACGGATACTTTACCCAAATAGGGTTGACGTCAGGCAGGCGGCCGGTCGCTATAAGCCAAATCTTTTTGCAATATGGATAAACAGCATATTACGCCGACCCCAAATAATAAAAATAAAGATTGCTCTCAGCAATAAGACCGCCTTACTGTACTTATACAATTGTATCGTTATGTTTGTAAATTGTTTTGTTTATTTCCTATATTGTATAATGCAAATAAACTATACTCATTCATTCATTCATAATAATTGGGATAAGGGTAGGAAAATTTCACGGATACTTTACTATGAAAATAAATAAATTTTACGTATTTGATATTTGTGATGTAATAAAATATATACAGGTTAGGAAGATTTTTTTATTGGTGATAATGGAATGGTAACCCCACCCGCGCTATCAGTATATACCTCACCTATCATTCTTCACAGGGCACCAGTGAAGAATGATAGGTGAGGATGAAGCAAGACAGTTAGCCCACCGTGACGAATTCAACAAGAATTGTTCACGATAGTTTCCAGGGGGAACCACGTGGAGGTCGACCTAATAGGGCATATTGCTAGCAATGGGGTTGTCAAACTCCATTGCCAACAATCCCTTTCCCCCCGGTTAGGAAGGTTAGGAACCACGGAGGGTAGGAGATCGCAAAATATTTATACATACTTTACTGGGTACAGAAGAATAACACCTGAGTCCTTAGGAATGGCAACGCATGGGGGGTATCATGGACGAAACAGTAAACTCTGTTATGTCCATGTACCGCTCGTGTCTATAGGAGACGGTTACCACTTTCCATCAGATGGACCGTCAGATTGTTTGCAATTCTAAGTTGTATAAAAAAAAAACTCAAAATAACACACATAGGTATACATACCGAAAAATTTTGTATAGAAACAACAGCACAAATATCATCATCAGATTCTATCAGTACTATCACACTTTTCGGTCGCGACATCCAGCCTGAGACGCTTCTGAAGTTGCTCTGTACGAAGTACGTGTCCAGCCTCCTCTGTTCTGACGCATCCAACTCTTTGTTACACGCATACTTCCTTCTGGCGGTTTGTGTGGGCAGATCTATCATATTGTTCGGCCCCTGATTGAACGGGTAGAAATAATACTTCGGCTGACTTGGAGTACTGGTGAAGTTCGTCACTGAATTCAGTTTAATGTAGAAATCCTGCACCGTCTCCACGTAGATGGTCACTTTTATGTCGTCGGGCGAGGATGACGTTAGATGGACTATTGGCGTGTTGAGAGAAGAGATGTCTGGAAGAGATTCGGTCGGTTAGGTGCATGTTAATTTGGATCTTGTACAGTGCTTGTCGAAAATATTGGTACAAGGTTACTTGTCGATTATGGCGAGGCATTAACCTCCTGAGGTCAGAAGTCCTAATACTAGAACAAAATCACATTGTTGTAAACGCCCAATTTTTAAAATAGCAATTTGGAGTCAACGCCCACTGTACTAATACTAGAACAAAATATTTTCCGTCATATGCCGCGTTTGAATTACGTGCCACGTTGTGTATTCAATGTCGTTTAGTTTGTAAATATATTTGGTATTGTGGCAGTGCACTGCTTTCAATGGACAGGGAATTTTTTTTCGTTCTTCTGTCATTCTAAGTCGAAGCGATGGCAAGTACAACGATAAAAGGTTTGTTTAACTAATTTATATCTTTTAAATCTTTGTGTTATATTTACGACATTTTGTTTTTTATCGGGACAAAGGGATGCAGTTTATATAAACACTATTATTTTATCGTAATTTTGTCAATATCAATATGCTTTTTTAGTGATTATTTTTTTGTACTAATACTAGCACTATAAGCGTTTATATGGTTTTTTAGTGATTTTATTTCATGTTAATACTAGTACGGCGGTCATTTATACCTTTTATTATTTTCCTTCTAGTTAGTCTACGCCATTGTGCTGACACAGTTTTCCCTTTCACAGATAGTCAAATATTAGAGATACTACATCAATCAGATTTCGAAGACGACGAGGGAGATCCTTTTACAGGAGAGGATACTGGCAATGAGTTCGTTCCAGATAGGAATGATGCAAGTGAAACCAGTACTAGCTCAGAATCAGAGTCTAAGAGCCCACCACCAATTCTGAAAAGTAGTCGAGGACGAGATCGATCGCGCATGCGAGCCCGTAGTCATGCACATTACAGCAGAAGATGTGAGCGCACTCCGCAATTTACTAGTGCTCGCGGTGGCAGCAGTTCAGATAATCAGTTTACATGGGCTGTAAAGAATTTCACAAAAAACATTCCTATGCTTTCTGAGCCATCGTACTCGATACAAGACAGAACAAATTTTTCAAAATTAGACTATTTTACTCAATACTTTGATGATGAGCTAATAGATATGATCGTAGATAAAACGAATCAAACAGCCGTTTATAAAACAGGAAAGAGTCTGCTAATAACAAATGGCGAGTTAAAAGTTTTCATAGGCTTGTTCTTGATTATGGCATGTATTGAATACCCAGTAATAAGGATGTACTTATTGGGCATTGAATTATTTGTTATATCAGGTGTTTAAATTTCCATTTTCTATGGGACTTCAGGTTATATGTAGCATCCCAATGTGATAAATATAGAACAAAATATTATGGAGTCTTTTTTTTTCTGTCGGGCAAGCCTAAATCAATATTAAAGTATCCCTAAAATATTACACCTTTAACTGTTGTGGTTACCAAGATATGAACAATTTTTGGTCTGGGCGTTTAGGACTTAATTAATTTGTTCTAATATTAGGACACTGGGTCTTCCTTGGATGTACCCACTTTGAAACCGGGCCGCAGGAGGTTAAGTATGTCAATTGTCAATACATTTATAAACTAATCTAAAAATGCCCTAAACAGGCCTCTAAATAACCCTATAATAAATATTGTACCAAACCATACAAAATAAAAAAAAAAAACAATTATTATTGTCTATATTCTACTTATTTGGGACTTATGGAATTTTATGAAATTACCTAAATTTAACTGCCCCCACTAAACATGTACATGGACATGAACATGAATAAAAAATTAACATAAGTTTTAAAAATAAAATAGATAAATAGATAAAAATTTATTTGCATCTATAGCACACAAATATCGAGTTACAGTTAAAATACAGTCCAAACTAATCATTATAAATAAATATTGGAATCTTAGATTGTATAGATAGAGCATCGAGCCGCAAAAACGGGTCAACTTTTTGTCAGCTAATTAACAAATTAGCTGACTCGTTTCTTTTATCAGTGTTCTATATACTTGCGCATAAAATGTATTTCGACGTATTATTTAATAAATAAAATGGGTGTTTACGCATTAAAAAGATGCAGAAATTATAAGACAAAATAATTATAGACGTTACAAATTAATCACTCATCAACTATTACGCAAAATTGTATGAAAAAGTTGATCCGTTTTTCTCGAAGCATTTCTATGGAGACACTCTATCTATATAATCTAAGATTGAAACATAAAAAACAAAAAAAAAACAAATATAACCTACACCTGCACGTGTGTGCCTCAGCAATGACAATTATTATAAAAAAAAAAATATATATTTAAATTTAGAATGCGTCTGTTACTTCACACTATCTTACCCCTTTATATGGAACCGTGTATACAATGTTTTCGACAGACACCACTACAAATAAATGTGTATTATATATATATAATAAATATTCTATTTACGTATCAATGGGCCACAGTAGACAGTAATCCATTCACCACTCACTACGAAAGCGTGAACAGAAAGAAATAAAAAATTTAATAGGGATATATTTACATTGGCAACTCTATTGTGTACCTCTGACCTCAGCGAGTCTAGTTTTTTTTTTTTTGATGGGTGAAAATGGTATGGTAACCCCGCCTGCGCTAACGGAATACGCTGGCGGAGCACCAGTGAAGGGTGATAGATGAGAATGAAAACAGACCAGTTAGCACATCATGATGAATTCATCAGGAATTAACCATGATAGTTTCCAGGGAGAACCGCGAGGAGGTCGACCTGATTGGATATATTGCTAGCAATGGGATTCTCAGTCTCCATTAGTAACAATCCCCTTAGGTTAGCTTCTAGTCCTCTAGTAAGGGGACTAGAAGCCTCTTTGATAGCTATATGTCTAATAGGCTTCGTTTGGTTGATCTCCATACAATCCGCATTGGAGGGGGGAAAGGGATTGTTAGCAATGGAGTTTGACAGCCCCATTGCTAGCAATATGCCCTATTAGGTCGACCTCCACATGGTTCCCCCTGGAAACCATCGTGAATAATTCTTGTTGAATTCGTCACGATGGGCTAACTGACCTGCTTCATCCTCACCTATCATCCTTCACTGGTACCCCGCTGATATATACCAATAGCGTGGGTGGGGTTACCATTCCATTATCACCCATTAAAAAAATCCGCATTGGAACCCCTTCCAATTGGCGGTCGCCAACCCGCCTGCCAAGCATGAAAACTACTAGCAAAATCTTCCCTATGGGGGAGGCCTATGTCCAACAGTGGACAGTTAACGGCCGATATGGTGATTAAATTGATACAAGTATTTTGAAATCACGAAGTGGCCCAAATTTACTATACTCCCAAACATAATCTATTTATTGATAAAAGTTTTATATACACATTATAATTCAATGTGAGAACAACCAAATTGGCTTACATGTATTTTTATCGAGAAAGCTCGACTAGTTTCGAGAGCATTCTGGACCCTTAGTCATGAGCGACCGTGACATGCAAACAACCCTGATGACTTTTAGTTACTTAGATAGTTCTTACATTAAAGTATAATGGATTTAATTAGTTCAGTCGCTAAATTCTTTTGTTTCAGTCACTCGGTCAACTTCTGACATCTTAACTTCCTGCTGTGTTCACTTAAAAATGACTGATGATGATGCCCGTCGGGCATTAGATCTCCAAATTTAAAACGTGAATAAAACATATTATATTATATAGACATTTTTTTTTAACTTAAATTTCAACTTAAAAATTCTACTATCCATTTCATTAAACCTCTGTCTAATCTGTGATACTTGATAATTTTTATAAACAGCGCCATCTAGCGATAATTGTTGCTACCTTTTAGTTACATAACGCTTAATGTATTTATAAATATAAGACTTATTATGACACGATAAAGAGAGAAGAGGAACAAAAAAATTCTAAATAAAAACAAAATTCAACAAATAAAAAAAATAAAAGCAATTATTAACCACAGGTGTCCTCATCTTCGGCGAAGAGATTATTATGGGGGCACAGCGTCCGGGATATGTTGGTGAACTGTTCCAGCCCGCCCAGGGTCTGAACGAGCATCGGTAGCTGCCAGGAGAACACGCCTGAAAAAGATAGATAGATATATAATTTAATTGCATTACTTACAGTACATAAATAACAACAGATAAAAGATCACATAAACAAAAAGTAATACATGAAAGAAGTAACATAATTTTCCTTTCGTGTGTGTGCCATAGCAACACAAAATAATCACAATTCAGTCTATTGCTTTTCCCTCAAAAGAGGGAAAAGCAATAGACTGAATTGTGATAAAATCGTTGATATTATGTTGTGGCCTAAATATATATATATATATATATATATATATATATATATATATATATATATATATATATATATATATATATATATATATATATATTTGTTTATTACTGTTTCCTCCAAAAGATTACAATAGTAAACTTATTATAGTTACAAACAATTACAAGAAATGATCATAGGGAGAAAACAATGGGCGGCCATATCGCTAAGAGCGATCTCTACCAGGCAAAACATATATATATAATATACGAATAACAATATAATAAAGAATGCATGGGCATCACATTGTATACATATGTTTATATGTCCATGTTTATAGGTGACGGTTATTACTTCCCATCGGGTGGGCCATTAGCATGTTTGCTAAGCATATAACGAGTGTAATTATAGTGTTTAAATTTCATTATATGATAATGAATGTACCAAAAGACACACACTCATTATCATTATAATAAAATTAAACATACGAGTACCAGCTTCACACAAAAACAACTGCATTAAAATGAATTTTTCTCAGTTGTATTATTGTATTGTATTACTAAACATCTTACAATCTGGTATATGTATGGTATAATTACCTTTGCACTCCAGCCTAGTAGCTCGTTGAGGATATTAATAACTCATTAACTTATCAATTACTTAATGTAAACATAATAAACATATCATAAACACTATAGGATGAACACAGACGATTTCGCTTACCTAAGTGTTAAGGACACTGAGTCAGTAAAACAAGCATGTCGTTGTAGCTGCGACAGTGGATTGAATGTTAGCATTTCAATGTCGCAAATACGACGACAACGGAGTGCTAAGGGTTAACCCTTAAGTATATTAATACACTATTTAGAAGTGTACTATTTGTTTTTTCTACTTCTAAAATCCATGCATATGGATAGACAAAAATTTATAATATATATATATAGATTTATAATACTAACATTTGTTAGTGTCATAAGCCCAGATATATATAAACATACAACGCTTTTTATCTGTTCAAAATGTGACCTATATTGGACAGACAGAGCTGATCTAGCCTATCAGGGGCACCAGCCCCTGGCAAGCTTTGAAACGGCAAAAAATATCGCCAAGGATGCCAAGAGAGCCACCAATGCTAGACTGAGCTACCAATTGGATACATTCTAATGGTGGTACATTTCCATTACCCTTGAGGTAAAAGGAAAAAAGAAAAACTTTACCTTTCTGTTGCCTTGCCGTTACAAACAGTGGATATGTCCTGTTTGCAAAGTCACTGGCAACTGTCACTCTAGCTGGTGTATCATATGATTCAAGATCCTGCAACAAATTTTAAACATTGTGAAGAGAAATAGAGAGCCAGCTTAATTCTGACAATTATTTATGGCTCTATATGACTTAATGGTAGAGGGATGGGTAGCAGCATCCCTCTTAAAACATCACTAAAAGCCTATCTGTGCTTACCAAAAATGGCAACTACCAGCAAAGTTAACATTAAGATAGTTTTACAGTTAGTATTAAGACAGTTAATAGCTAACATGATGATGATTGTGATATTGTGATCACTATTTTGGTATTTGTTTCATATAAATAGTCTTTCTAAGAGTTAAAGTTGAAGAAAATGATTAAAGAAAAAGAAGATTGACTGTACACCAACCATACAAGGGTGCTGAGATCCAAGATAGAGTATGAGCACTTCAATAAAAGGTATACAGCTAGAGCAGAATCAGATAGTTTTGCCACACGTCAGGCTTTTTTATAATTTCACTTGACCTTTTCTAAAGCTTTATTTGACATTTTTTATAACTTCATACCTTTTCTATAGCTATATTTAACGTTAGTGTATGGGCCTGGCTTTGCATAATATTTAAATAAAATCCAACCCATGGTAGTCCTTAATAATATATCTCTCTATAGATAAGATATTTTTTAAATTAGTTAAGTAATTCTTTAACTTTATCCATTATAAACACTTAATCTAATCTTTCTACTTTATAATATTAGTTTAAATTGAAAACTATCAAATTAATTATAAATAGTTTTATCATTTCATTCGAAGTCCTTTGTTTCAGTCGCCTGTAAACATTGCATGATAAAGAAATAACAGATGAATAGTGAAGTCCTTTGAATACTCCTGAGAACGAAAGCCATAAATATACTCTATTTTGGGTAATATGTTTCATGACTAGCTACAAAAATTCTCAAAATAAACTTACCCCTCCAAACTCCATGATATATTCTGTATTTTTATTCACATACACTGTGTATGGTACATTGTATTTATAGCTGAAACAAATAATTATACATTATAATAAAAATTACATTGTATAAGAAAAAAAAAAGAATACAGTTCAAAGCATTTATTGCATGAATATGGGCACATGTATTAGATGAATGAAAAATAGAAAAATGGAAATAAATATGTACAAATCCATTTTTCCACATTCTACCGTATGGCATGTATAATATATTATAAAATGTATATCTAATTGTTAAGAATAATAATATTAATAAAATGTAAAGTCTATACATAGAGTTTTATTTATGACATTTAACTTGAAATATTTCATAATAGAAAGCAACCATCACAGCTTTTTTTTTCACTGAATTAAAATTAAATATTATAAATGAGAGATAACAAGTAAGGATGAGATGAAGTTAATAAAGAATAATAAAGAATTAGCCAAAAATTAACCATAATAATTTGAACAGAAGTAATCACATGGAGGTCTTCACTGGGTATATTAATAGTAATGGGGCGTCTAGTCCCCATTACTAATAACTTAATTCTTTCGCTAATATCCTTCTCTAATAGAATAATGTAGAAGTGTTGTCAATGGGTTGTTATGGTGGTGGAATCAAGGTGAGGAAAAATCAACACATACTCTTATCATGATGTTGTGGTAAAAGTGTATCTACTCTAAATAGTTCAATGACCTATGAGTGACGCGAGAAAGGTAATTAATATTATCAGTTAAATAATAATAATTTAATAGTAAGTAAATAGAACTATAATATTAAAATGATTTCAATATTAAGATACAATGTAATAAGTTATATATAATATTTAAACGAGAAAGATTTAAGGCAACAAATAAACATAACTTACGTATTATTATAGTGAAATATTATTCCATCTGTGTTTACATTGTTCTCACTAAACACAAAAATGGGAAGGTTTATCAATATACAATACAGTAAAAATGTTAAAATAGCCATTGTAGTATTTTTATCACGTTAGTTAACGAAAACCCACATTATTTTGTTAAAATTAAGAAAGTTACACAACAATTTAAAATTCTTTTTTTATTTATATATGTATTTTCAAGAAGACAACAATTGCAATCTAAGATTTGTAGACGACATAATTGTCATAACTGACTGACACTGACAGCTGGCAGACAATTTGACATAGATTGGGACATTACATTTTTGCAACGTCAATGATTGAGGTTCAAAGAACTTCTTAAGTGATAAGCGTAAATGGTTAATAGGAATATTTATAACTTAGATTATGTACTGCAAAGCAACTCCAACTTCTTATACAAACACGCTTTCGTTCTTTTGTATAGATTTACCTGGCTGTTATAATATCCTAAATGCGTGATTATGTCATATAATAATTAAAAAAAATGATTCAGAGACATAGATGAAACTAAAGATATTTTTAGTAGTTAGTAGTATACCTAGTTCAAATCTATAAAAATATTAAAAACAATAACTAAAAAATAAAATATTCGAAATCTTTACTAATCTGAATTTTTTTATATTAGTTGATACAAAACGATATAGACCATAGGGAAATATTGGTTTAATTCAACTAAAAATAACGATACATTGGTATTATTACAGACAATAGTAGTTAGAAAAGGAATGTCACAATCTTAAGTCAATAATAGAAAAACAAACCAGTATTTGTAAAGAGTTTCGTATACTACATTCACCCATCCTTTTTTAAAAAACCTAAGTTATTATAATTCATAATCCCCTAAATAAGCGGGTGGTCTTCTTTCACGAATAAGCCGCTGAGACGAATCGACCACCATTGAAGGCCCAGTGCCATCAGCATTCAAATTGTCGGTTTCAGTCGTGGTGTTGTAGCTCTCGGTATCTGTATCGGTTCGAGATCGATCGGAGTTTTCAATTTCGTCAGTGTTAGCTATATCTCCAACTAATCTATTAATTGGGGCAAGATGTCTATTAGATACAGTATCCTCTCGTCCATCAGCAAAACGTACTAAAGAATAATTTGGGTTGAATTCTAGCAATTCGACTTCTTCTACTAGAGGATCATATTTACTTTTTCTTACGTTTTTCTTCAAAAGTATTGGCCAGGAATCATTAACCACGAAGGTAAAGAAATTCCATTACCAGATCGTCTGGGAAAACATAACAACTTATCATGTGGAGTTGCATTCGTAGCAGTACATAACAAAGAGCGTATGGAATGTAATGCTAGAGGTAGTACCTGTTCCCAATATCGTATGTCAAGGTTCTTGGATCTTAAAGATAATTGGATGGTTCTCCACAGTGTCCCATTCAATCGCTCAACTTGACCATTTCCTTCCGGATTGTAAGGTGTAGTTCTACTACAAGCAATATTATTTCTTAGTAGGAAATCTTTAAATTCTTGTGACATAAATCCAGCACCACGATCTGAATGAATATATAGAGGCGTTCCAAAAGTAAAGAAGAGGTCCTTTAAACACGTTATGACAGTTCCTGATGATACGTCTTTACACGGGTAAGCAAATGGAAAACGAGAAAATTCATCAACAATAGTTAATATATATTTATTTTCAGTATTCGAAGGTAACGGCCCTTTAAAGTCTAAACTGAGTCTTTCAAATGGAGAAGTAGCTTTGATAAGTCGTCCTTTGCTATTTGCAAATCTAGGTTTTATCTCGGCACAAATAGGACAACTCGCAGTCATGTCTTTAATCTCTACAAGAGAATAGGGCAAATTTTTAGAACGCACCCAATGAGCCATTCTTGTGATTCCTGGATGGCATAGAGTATTGTGCAGTTGATATAATTTTTTACGTGTGTAGTGAAGGTACTTTTGTAATAAAAGTTCGGAAGGTAGTATTAAAAACCTGGAGTATCAACTGAGGTTGTTTAATTGAGTGCTCCCGTATTTCCTGGACATTACAGTGGCGACGAGGCTTTCAGTTGATAATTGATCGACTTTTGAACTCACAGTAACTGTTGATGACAGCGGCAGCATAGCAAACTATTGTTATTAATAATTGATTATTGTATTATATGATGTTTGTATTAATAAGTGATTAAAATAAAGTAAATATTATAGAATAAGTAGGCAGGCTGTTGGGAACTTTGTAATAAATTGGTAAATACGCTAGGGTAAGCTTCGTATTATATAGCAAATAAAGGAATAATTGCGAAGCCACTTTTCGTACAGGTATTGCTAATAATTGGACATACGAAAGCGGCTGTCGCGTCGGTATTACCGAAAGTTCGATCGGAACCCCCGAGCGTAAAATTATTGGTCCAAAAGGAGCGCCAATGATTGGTCGGCCAATCAGAGGGCCTACATTTTTTGTGCGGGTTTGCTATATAAGCCGGGCGATTCCCTAGCGATGGCACATTCGACGGACACTCGTCCAGCAGCCAACAGCCTCGCCAGCAACGGGTAGCCAACCAAGAAAAGAAAATAAATCAGCGGTATAAGAAAAAGACCTGGTTTTACTACAGTCCCCAACATTGGGTGGTCCTTCGAGCCGGATTGAAGATTGAAGATAGAAAAAAGAAAAAATGGTGGTCACGAGGAGTCAAGCTGGCCTGGACGAAGAACGCATCGTGTTCAACCAACGCCCCCGCTCCCCTTCGGCAATCGAGCAAGCAAACGCTTCAAAGCCGAATCGACCCGCTGAAAGTCAACCCAGCCCGAACGTGGTTGACGAGTATACGGGTCGGCAAGAAATGAACGAGGGCAACAAGAACACCGTCAGCGGGGAAGATAACCACGTGGCCGCGGCGAGCGTACGCATCACACAAGTCGTACGTTCGACGCGCTCTCGCAAGTCGAATGTCAGCGCCATCGCACGAATGCAGTACGAGGCGAAACAGAAAACCGTCGCCCTTCAACGGAAGCAATTGCAAATGGAAGCGGAATTAATACAAATGAAGTTAGCCGCAGACATAGCAGCGTTGGAGGAAAGCAGCCAGGACGAAGAAGATGAACCAGCTGAACGAGTGGAGGATCGCGTCAACGCCTGGATGCAGGATAGCATGATAGCCTTACGGGGGGAGACATCCAGGGTTAAGGCGCAACCACCGGTTCAAGAGAACGTCCACGCCAGAAGAACGGAGCCATTAGAGAAGGTGACACGCGTTGAAGAGGACCATACGCCCCGACTGAAGGAACGATCGTTCACTCCGGGCGGCAGCCGAGACATCGAACGACTAGCGGACACACTCGAACAGATGATGAAGAGGCGCCCACCGCCGAGACAGGCTACCGATCTACCCCTGTTTTCGGGTGCGCCCTCCGAGTGGCTACAATTCGAGGCCGCCATGAAGGAGACAACGGAGGCGTACCACTTCACACCAATGGAGAATCTGGCACGGCTGAGAAATTGTCTACGAGGGGAAGCCAGGGAAGCGGTAGCGCCCCTGCTTAGCGCCTCCACCCATCCAGAACAAGTGATGAACACATTAAAGCAATGTTTTGGACGGCCGGAGGTGATAGCAGACCAAATGATGGAAGAGCTAAAGCATCTACCGAAGCTTGGCGGATCACCGACGGAGCTCAACACGTTCGCTGTGAAGATGCAGAACGCCGTCGTCGTGTTAAAGAAGTTGAGAATGGGTTATCTCCATAACCCGTTAATGCTTAGGGAGGTGTTGGAGAAACTCAGCCTACATCAAAGGGCCCGGTGGTACGATTATGCAGAGTCAGAAGCAGAAGCATCGGACCAACCGGAGATCGTGCTGCTGTCAGAGTTTCTGATTAAGGAAGCCAACCGAGCACTGAAATTTGGCTTCACCACTGCTCTGGCCGGGAAAAAGGAAGCATCACGGCCGCCCTTGAAGTTTATCGAGATGAAAAAGAAGAAGCCGGTCTACACGATATGCAGCGAGGATAAAGAAGAGGAGGCTGGCCCATCCAACGCGTCGGAGGACGCGAACAATTGCCCGGCGTGTGGAAAGAGACATTCACTTCCCAAATGCTACAAGTTCGCCAAACTGAAGAACGAAGAACGCTGGAACGTCGTAAGAAAAGCCAACCTCTGCTTCAAATGTATATCCGGCAAGCACAGAAGATTTAACTGTCGAGCGAAGCGCTGCGGCGTGGATGGGTGTAAATTATCCCACCACCAGCTGCTTCACAATAAAGAAGTCCATAAAGCCGAAAAGGAAACGGTGTCTACACTCACAGCCACCGATGAAGATACGGACGAGGTCGTCGCTCCCGAGGAAGAGGACATTATGGCTGTCGCTGCAACCGCTAACGAACGTGAAATCAAATTGAAGATCTGCCCGGTGACAGTAAGCGGGCCGAAAGGGAAGCTGCGAATCTTCGCGCTATTCGACGAAGGATCTACAGTGACCTTGCTGGACGAAAAGGCGGCACTGAAGATAGGCGCTAAGGGACCCATGAAAACCCTAAATATGCGCGGCATCAACACCGAACGATGCGAGACAAAGAGCCAGCAGATCACATTGAAGATTAGTGGCCAGGACAGCAGGGAACACGATATCACCGTACGAACAGTCCCTGGTCTGAAGCTAACGGGCCAGAGTGTATCGGAGGAGCTGCTGCAGTTGGGGCACCTTAAGGACCTCAAACGAGAAGAGTTGTGCTACGCGGGAGCAAAACCGCAACTGCTCATCGGTAGCGACAACTGGCAGCTGATAGTTTCAAGGGAGCTGCGCATAGGCAAGAAGGACCAACCGGCCGCCTCTAAAACACAACTTGGCTGGGTAATCCATGGCAGCCTCCCTAGAAGAATCCTCAAGATGGATGCGGAAGAAGTTCTTCACGTCGTGACAACGGAATCACTAGATACGATGGTGAAAGCTCACTTCGAGATTGACGCCATCGGTATATCGCAGAAGGTGAACGTCAATGAAGAGGCACGACGGGCGATAAACATATTTGACAGCACTGTTCGCCAACGTGAAGACGGGCATTTTGAAGTGGGGCTACCGTGGCGCAACGATAACACCAAGTTGCCGCCAAGCTACAACATTGCTCTACGGCGACTCAAGAATCTAGAGACGAGATTGGCCAAGTCGGCTGATGAAAGGCGGCAATACGACACGCAGGTGGTCAATCTCCTGAAGAAGGGGTACGCCGAGAAGTGCGATGGAACAGAAGCCGGCAGTCCAGTGGCTTGGTACCTACCGCATTTCCCTGTACGCAACATCAACAAGCCAGGGAAAATTAGGATGGTATTCGACGCGGCAGCCAAGTCACACGGCAAGTGCCTAAACGACTTCCTTCTGGAGGGACCTGACCTACTCCGATCGTTGCCAGCCACTTTATTTAGATTCCGGGAAGAAGCAGTGGCGGTAAAGGCTGACATCGAGGAGATGTTCTTGAGGGTCAAGATCAGAAAAGAAGATCAGCCAGCACAGATGTTTCTATGGAGGACCGACCAACGAGCACCGCCCACGGCGTATAAAATGACTTCAATGATATTCGGGGCGGCTAGTTCTCCATTTCTGGCGCATAGCGTTCGAAACAGAAACGCTCAAAATTTCGCAAGTTCTCATCCCGAAGCCCATGTTGCCATAACCGAGGCACACTACATGGATGACTACGTGGACAGTTACAAGGACGAGCGAGAAGCGGAAAAGGTGATGCACCAAGTGGACTACGTGCATCGCCAAGCTGGATTCCGGTTGCGAAGCTGGGAGAGCAATCGCAGAAAAGTGTTACGAGACATACCCAGCGAGCTGCATGCACACGGCGCGACACAGGCCATAACTAAAAACGACAGTTATGAGAAGACGCTAGGCCTGTTATGGGACTCGGCGAAAGACGTACTTAAATTTAGTACGTCGTTAAATCGAGTAAACAAGGAGGTCAAAGACGGGAAACGACCACCAACAAAGAGGGAAGCCCTAAGCGCGGTAATGAGTATATATGACCCGCTGGGGCTGTTAAGTTGCTACACCATCACTGCCAAGAGTGAACTACAGAACCTGTGGCGACAAAAGTTGGGCTGGGACGAAAGAATACCCACGGCGTCCGCTGAAGTATTCGCTGAGTGGCTAAGAAGTCTGGAACACATTAGCCATATCGAGCTGCAGCGAAGCTACAACGGGGGGAGCCCAGTACGGAATCGCCAACTGCATGTGTTCTGCGACGCAAGCGAAGATGCCTACGCAGCGGCCGCTTATTGGCGGCTAGAACAAAAGGATGGGAACGTGCAAGTGATATTGGCAGCGGCGAAGGCCAAGGTGGCGCCGCTCAAGACACAAACCATCCCGCGAATGGAACTCCAGGCGGCACTGATAGGGGCAAGACTGGCGCATCACGTACGTGACGAGCATCGCTGGGACACAGATGGGATCACGTACTGGACCGACGCGCGCGTGGTGCTGCATTGGGTGAGGAACGGGAGCAAGCGATACACTCCCTATGTGGCACACCGGCTGGGGGAGATCGCCGAGCTGAGCGCCCCGCATCAATGGAGATGGGTACCAACCAAACAGAACGTAGCCGACTTAGCAACGAGACCCGGCTACTTGCCACAAGACGCCGACGACGTGTGGTTCACTGGGCCAGCGTTCCTAAGACAGTCGGAAGACAAATGGCCACAGAATATGCCGGAGCAGCCAAATGAAGAAAGCGAACAGGTTGTATTGCACGCAGACAACACACGTTCGCTTTGCTTACCGGAACTGGAGCGTTTCTCGAGTTACGAACGTCTCATCAGAACGACGGCCCGCGTGCTACTCTTCATACAAAATTGTAAGGGCCCGAGGGGAGATTTGGCTGTTAAGCATCTGGAACGAGCGGAAAACTTGTGGATAAGGCAGGCACAGGAGGAAGACTTTCCAGCAGAATTGGAAACCATTCGAAAAGGCAAGCCGATATCAAAATCTAGTCGGCTATATCGCCTCGACCCTGTTTACGAAAATGGAATGCTGCGTGTCCACGGGCGAATTGGCGCGGCCGACGTGTCGACCGCTGTGAAACAGCCAATTATTTTAGACGGGCGTCATCCATTTACCAGGTTAGTGGTGGCGCAAGAACACAAAGCGTCGGGCCACTTAAACCAAGAAAGAACGGTAAACGACTTACGGCAGAAATATTGGATCCTGAGATTACGGCCCACGGTGCGGTCGGTGATAAGAAACTGTGCCTACTGCAAATTGAGAAGAGCCGCGCCAAGGAAAACTACGACTGGCGATCTGCCACGTGAAAGATTGGGCGCCTTCCAGAGGCCATTTTCAAATTGTGGCCTCGACTACTTCGGCCCAATGGCAGTCACCATCGGACGGCGACACGAAAAAAGATGGGGCGCACTGTTCACATGTTTGACCACACGAGCCCTACATATAGAGTTGGTGGCATCATTATCCACCGACTCGGCCATAATGGCAATAAGGAGAATGGCTGCTCGCAGGGGATGGCCCGCGGTTATGTATAGTGACAACGGGACAAACTTCCGAGGCGCAGATGCGGAGCTACGAGCCGCGTACCAAGAGTGGCAACCAGAGCTGCAAGACTTGGGACTACAGCATCGCATGAGGTGGAAATATATACCACCTGGGACACCGAGCCAGGGAGGAGCATGGGAGCGAATGGTGAGAACCGTGAAATCTGCTTTGGCGGCTACACTGAACCAGAAGGCGCCAAAAGAAGAGGTTCTCCAAACACTTATAACGGAGGCAGAGTACTCGATAAACGCGAGACCTCTGACTCATGTTTCCGTCAACCACGACGATCCGGAAGCACTGACACCGAACCATTTCCTAATTGGTTCGTCGACGGGTATGCCTCACATCGGACCGTGCAAACCAGCGGACAAGCGGACGTGGCGGGCCGCGCAAGCTCTAGCTGATGAGTTCTGGCGGCGGTGGGTACGAGAATACCTGCCCACGTTAGTGCCACGACAAAACGCCGCTCAGATGGAACGACAAATCACCGAAGGAGATCTGGTGGTGGTGGTTGACCCTACACTCCCACGCAACATATGGCCGCGAGGAATAATTACGAAAGCCTACCAAGGACCGGACGGACGAGTACGCAGCGCTGACGTCCGTACGCCGGGAGGAGTACTTCGACGACCGACATCGAAGTTGGCGGTCCTGAAGGAGAACGTCGAGCCCGCTGTCCACCAAGGAGGCTGCGTCGAGACTGCGCCGGGGGGAGACTGTTGATGACAGCGGCAGCATAGCAAACTATTGTTATTAATAATTGATTATTGTATTATATGATGTTTGTATTAATAAGTGATTAAAATAAAGTAAATATTATAGAATAAGTAGGCAGGCTGTTGGGAACTTTGTAATAAATTGGTAAATACGCTAGGGTAAGCTTCGTATTATATAGCAAATAAAGGAATAATTGCGAAGCCACTTTTCGTACAGGTATTGCTAATAATTGGACATACGAAAGCGGCTGTCGCGTCGGTATTACCGAAAGTTCGATCGGAACCCCCGAGCGTAAAATTATTGGTCCAAAAGGAGCGCCAATGATTGGTCGGCCAATCAGAGGGCCTACATTTTTTGTGCGGGTTTGCTATATATAAGCCGGGCGATTCCCTAGCGATGGCACATTCGACGGACACTCGTCCAGCAGCCAACAGCCTCGCCAGCAACGGGTAGCCAACCAAGAAAAGAAAATAAATCAGCGGTATAAGAAAAAGACCTGGTTTTACTACAGTCCCCAACAGTAACATAGTATAAAATGTCAGTTTACGGGAGCGTGCCATTATTTGACTGTAAAAGTGATGAGTGGGGAGTTCATAGTGCACAGTTGAAAAATTTCTTTGTGGCTAATGGTATTAACGATACAAGCGACGTGAATGGTGTTAAACGACGTGCTATATTACTTAATTGCATGTCACAGGACTCATATCGGTTAACTCGTGATTTGTTATTTCCAATTGTGCCCGAGTCGGCCACCTACAGTGTGATTGTAGATACTTTGGATGCTCATTTTCAACCCAAAAAGTGCATATATGCGGAACGGCAGAAATTCTATTCGGCTAAGAAAGACCCCCACGAGTCCCTACCAGAATATGCTGCGCGTATTCGTGGCTTGGCATCTACATGTCAGTTTGGTACTTCGCTAGAAATGTGTATGACGGATCGTTTCGTCCTCGGCGTTGACTCCCCAGTTGTACGAGAGAAGTTATTTCGGGAGGATCCTGGACAACTCAAATTAACACGAGCAGTCGAGGTAGCAGGAGCAGTAGAAAGCGCGCAACGGGTTGCGTGTTCAGATCTGGCAGCGCTCAATATTAAATCTGAATCGGTGCTGTACGCGGCTGAGCGGACAGAGCGGCGCCATGCGACCGCTGGCAGGAGCCGCGACGTCGGCAGCGGCGGCAGCGGCGGCAGCGGCGGCAGCGGCAGCGGCGGCAGCGGCGGCAGCGGCGGCAGCGGCAGCGGCGGCGGCGGCGGCGGCGGCGGGTGCGCAAATGGCGTGACACCCCGCTGCACAGTATGCGGCGCTAAATCGCATTCGTCTTCTCAGTGCGGTTATCGTAATTTATCTTGTGATAATTGTGGTGTTAAAGGTCATTTAAAACGTATGTGTGCCTCGAAAAGTGTTCGTATGGTTGACCGTAATAACATTAAGTCACGTAGAAATAGGAATAGCGAAAAGCGAAGTAATTTTATCAGTGAATGTGATAACGAGAGCGAAAACAGCGATTATGCGCTGTTAAATAATATTAGATGTTCTGAGGGTGCGCCGATGACTGTGGCGGTGACCGCGGACGGGAAACCGTTTAGCATGGAAATAGACTCGGGCAGCGCGGTGTCGGCAATGCCGTCGGCGGTGTGGCGCAGGTATTTTTCTAAAACCCATCCACTCGGTGAGTCTGATAAAATCTTACGTACTTATAACGGTTCGTTGTTGTCACCTATTGGAGTATGTGATTTATTGATTACGTATAATAACAACTCTCAGTACATTCGTTTTTATGTGGTAAATAATGGCCCAGTTTCGCTTCTTGGCAGGGATTTTTTGTATAAATTTAATTTAGCACTAGTGACAGTAAATCACTGCTCAGCAAATAAGTACAGCTCAATTTTAAATAAATATAATTCCCTGTTTTCTGACAACCTTGGTACTTTTAATCGCTATAAGTTGACATTACATTTGAAGGAGGGCGCTGTCCCAAAATTTTGTAAAGCTAGAACAGTGCCCTTTGCACTCAAGGACAAAGTGAGTGCGGAGTTAGATAGACTGGTACGGATAGGTATTTTAAAACCGGTTTCTTATTCGAAGTACGCGTCACCGATTGTTGCCGTTTTAAAAAAGAACAACGAAGTACGTATCTGTGGCGATTATTCAGGTACAATTAATAAAATATTAAAAGTGGATTCGTATCCACTACCCAAATTGAATGAGTTATGTGCTTCCTTGCACGGTTGTCGCTATTTTAGCAAGCTCGATTTGTCACAAAGCTATAATCAATTTTTACTAGACGACCAGTCTCAAGAATACACATGTATAAATACACATAAGGGGTTATTTGTTTACACTCGGCTAGTGTTTGGCTTAGCAAACGCACCAGCGCTATTCCAGCGTGCAATGGTTCAATTGTTGAACGGCATAGATGGAGTCGTATGTTTCCTCGACGATGTGCTTATTGCCGCATCTACTCCCGAATTACACTGGGAACGCGTAGAACAAGTTTTGATTCGACTAAGAGATGCTGGACTTATATTGCAAAAATCTAAATGCTATTTTCTTCAGGAAAAAGTGGAATATCTGGGGTTTATCATAGATCGGGAGGGAATTCACAAAAATCCAGATAAAATTAGAGCAATTATTGATGTCAAGGTTCCTATGAATACGAAACAATTAAAATCGTTTTTAGGAATTGTAAATTTTTATCACAGTTTCATACCGCAAGCGGCGGCGTTACTAGTACCACTACATACTTTGTTGCGAAAGGATATCGAGTGGGAGTGGACAGACGAGCACCAAAAAGCGTTTAATGCTGTTAAAAGGGAATTGAGTTCATCACGAGTGTTATCTCACTATGACCCCCGACAGCAGCTCGTGCTTACCGTAGACGCGGCGCCAAGTGGGCTGGGCGCGGTTCTAGCAGCGCGCTACCACGACGGTGCCGAACGTCCCATCTGCTATGCGTCACGAGCATTAAACAAAAGCGAACGTGCATATAGCCAGATTCAAAAGGAGGCGACGGCCATCATTTATGGTATCAAAAAATTCCACCAGTATCTTTATGGCCGTCAGCAACCATTCATTTTGAGAACCGATCACAAACCCTTGTTGTCAATTTTTTCGCCAGAAAAAGGAGTACCTCAAATGACTGAATCTAGGCTTCAACGATATGCATTATTTCTCGCTGCTTATAATTACAAAATTGAATTCGTTAGCAGTGGAAATAATGTTGCTGATTATTTAAGTCGGTTTCCTGTGGAAATGGAACCGCAAGAAGTAATTAATGACACCGAAATGCCTAGTTATATTAACGCACTAGCGGCGGCCGGTGCGACATTGCCCGCCTCATTGGAGGAGATGCGGTCGTCTACTGCTGCCGACATTACACTTTCTGATGTCATACAATATATAAATAAAGGGTGGCCACGGAAAGTACGAGTAGAATTGCTGCCGTACAGCCGGTGTCAGCACGAGCTTCATGTTGACAATGGATGTTTAATGCGTGGTCATCGCGTGGTCGTACCCGAGGTATACAGGTCGGCTGTGATACAAGAACTCCATGCTGCGCATTTAGGCATAATGAAAATGAAGTCGTTGGCTCGAGAGCGTTGTTGGTACCCGGGTATCGACCGTGATATTGAACAAACAGTGTCCAACTGTGACCGTTGCATTTCCGTTCGGTCAGCTCCCCCGAAAGCTCACATGGAATCATGGAATTGGCCTGTATCTGTTTTTGATAGAATTCATTTGGACTATCTTGGGCCCTTAAGTAGTAAAATATTTCTTGTTTTAGTCGATGCTCATAGTAAATGGATTGAATGCTTGGATATGCCAAATATGACGTCTCAAAGTTTAATTTTAAATTTAAAAAAAGTATTTTCGAGATTCGGTTTGCCTAAAACAATTGTGACAGACAACGCAACAACTTTTACGTCTTCTGAGTTCGGAAAATTTTGTGACGTCAACGGTATCACTCACATATTGTCTCCCGTTTATTCGCCGCAAAGTAATGGACTCGCCGAAAACGCGGTTAAAACATGCAAACGATTTATTAAAAACGCGCTTAAAGATTGTTCCATAAAAAATATAGGTAGCCGATTAGATGATTATTTATTTTATTACCGAAATACGCCACACTGCACGACTGGTGTATCGCCGTCAGTACTCATGTTCGGTAGGAATCTACGATGTAAACTCGACCTCATATCTGTCCGACCGTCGGCCACAGGTCCTAACCCAATGTTGATTAATAACCGTGTACGGCTGAACCAGGAACGCCAACGACGTTGTTTCGGTGGCAAAGGACGATACTTTTCGCGATATGATAAGGTTTGGATTAGAGACTATCGATTTAATCCAAAAAGACCGGTGTGGGTGTTAGGATCGGTCGTCAGTCGTGTCGGTAAGGTTGTTTACGATGTTGCTGTAAAGGACACTGATATCGTTTGGAGGCGTCACATTAACCAGTTACTGGATGCGAAGACTTATAATGGTAACGTGAATAGTTCCGCTTGGTCATATGATAAGTACGACAACGGGACAACCTGTTCTTTGACCCACGATCTAACTACGGAGCCGTTTCAGTCAGACTCGCCAACTACGGCTCCAGGGTTAGGAGTGGAAGGCGAGGTGCGGCCGTCTACACCGGCCGGCTCGCCGGAGCCGCGGGCGCCCAACGATGCCGATTACGACTCGTACGGCACGCCTCCCAACGAGGCGCCCGAGCGGTCACCACCGCGCGCCGCCTCTATTCCTGGAGTCCGCCGCACACGATCGGGACGCCCAGTTCATCCACCCAAAAGATTATTTTTTTAGTATATAATTAGGTTTATAGCATAGTATATATCTTATAGTATTAGTAGTTATTATTTCTTATTAAGTTATGGTTCCCGTCTGCATTTCCCGGATTAATAATTAAGATTTTTTTTTTTATTTTTGTGGTTTTCTTTTATATATCTATATTGTAGTAATGTCTCGATATTAATTGTGGAGGAAAAATATAGAGCTGTAACTATCAATAAAATTAACTAAGACATTTTCTCATTCACTGTGCTGTAAATGTGAATAATGACCTAAGTTATTATATATAAGTTTTCATAGTTAATAAGTAGTCCTATGTGCTTACTTTCCCCTCAGTTGTTAATTTAATTGTGGAGGAGATGTAGTGAAGGTACTTTTGTAATAAAAGTTCGGAAGGTAGTATTAAAAACCTGGAGTATCAACTGAGGTTGTTTAATTGAGTGCTCCCGTATTTCCTGGACATTACACGTGAAAATGTACTAGCACAAACTCTTGATAATGCATCTGATACTATATTTTGTCTACCAGGTCGATAGACAATATCAAATTTAAAACAAGACAGTTCCAGTCTCCATCTCTCTATTTTTTCATTCTTAATTTTACTTGTATGCTTCTGATTGAACATAAAAGAGACAGATTGTTGATCAGTTATTAAAAGAAAATGTTTTCCAATTAAATGATGACGCCATTTACGTAGACTTTCAACAATCGCTGATGCTTCTTTCTCTATTGACGAATGGTTTCTTTCAGAATCTGTTAAGGATCGGGAAAAAAATGCTACAGGGCGTCCATTTTGCGAAAGCGTTGCTGCCAAAGCATGATCAGAAGCATCTGTTTCGACAGTGAACATTTGTGTGTCGTCAATTGCTACCAAAGCTGCATTTGCAATATCTTTCTTGATACTTTCAAATGATTTGCTTGCCTCATGTGATAAAGGAAATGAGTTATTCGTTATTAAAGGACTTATTTTCTCTGAATAATTGTTTATCCATCTAGAAAAATGTGCAAACATACCTAATATTTTCTTCAAGGAAGTTAAGTCTGTAGGTGCAGGCATAGAAAGTAATGGTTTAAGACGCTCTTTATCAGGCTTTACAGTGTTATTCTCTATAGTATAACCCAATAAGTTAATAGACTCAGAGCCAAACTTGCATTTATCTTTATTTAAAGTAATTTTATATTTTTCTACTGCTGTCATAAATTTGGCTAAGTTAGCATCATGGGTAAGTTTATCCTTTCCACAAACAGTGACATCGTCTAAGTAAGCATAAGTATCTGTAAGATTTTCATTATCAATAATATATTGCATCGTTCTTTGGAATGCTGATACGCCATTTGTAACTCCAAAAGGTATACGTGTAAATTGATATAATTTACCACATGCTTCAAATGCTGTATAAGGTCTTTCCTTTTGCAGAATCGGCACTTGATGGTAAGCACTTTTAAGGTCTATTTGGCTAAAATATTTATTCTGAGCAATTTTAGATACAAGAAATTCAATGTTCGGCAATGGATACGCATCAAGTTCTGTAAATTTGTTTATCGTTCGTGAATAGTCAATAACAAGACGTTTTCGATGCGTACCGCCACCAGTTACTAGGACTTGTGCTCGCCAAGATGACATACTTGGCTCTATAATTCCATCTTTTAATAGCTTTTGAATTTCTTCAGAAATGAATTTTTGGTCATCATCATTATAGCGCCTTGATTTTATTGCCACAGGTTTGATATTAGGCGACAAATTTGAAAATAGAGTTGCGTTAGGTAAATTTGCAGCCATAACATTGCATATCTTCAAAGAATCTCTGGGACCTCCGAACTGGAGTTCTAAAGAATGGTGATTTTTAAGCAAATCATGACCTAAAATAATGTCAGTGCATAAGTTACGTACAACTAGTAACTTGGCATTGCTGTAAGAGTAATTATATAATTGTATAGTAACATTACAGTAACAGGTGACTGGAGATGTATGATTAAGTGAAGCTAAAGTAATAATTTGCTGACAAGGTTTCTGTCTCAATTTCAAGAGTTGCGCCAATTCTTCATTTATGAAACTTATCGAGCTTCCGGTATCGATAAGAGCTTCGGCACGATAATTATTAATAATAACGGGTACAGTTGCCTTATGTAGACTTGGTAAAGAAGCTGCTGATATAGCAGCAACCTCCACAGAATAATTAGTATCATTTTCGTTTGTTACAGCAGCATTCATAGTTTGTTTACTTCGGCAAACATTAGCAAAATGTCCCTTTTTAGAACAAATCTGACAAGTACTATTCAAAGCTGGACATTTTATTCGCTGATGAATTACATTACTGCCACAGAAGAAACATCTTCTTTTATTTGAAGCAGCAGCTAAAGTAGACTCAGCCAAATTATCTCGTACAGTAGATACATCGTTGTTGTTCAGGGAACATATTTGAGTTTTCTTTTGTGAATTAGATGAAATAACGGCATCAGCAGAATTAAGGGGCAAAGAATTACCATTGTAAGCTAGGGAATTAATTTCTGCCATCTCGAGTGAAATTGCTTGATTGAAAGCTTGATCAAGTGAGAGTTCAAAATTTTCTAATAAACGTTGGCGAATTTTTTGTGAGGAAATACCAGCAATAAATGCATCTCTAATATATTCAGATCGATATTGTTCAGCTTTAACATCTTTGAAGTAGCATTTTTGAGCAAGAAGCTTAAGTTGGCGCAAGTATTGATCTATAGATTCATCACTGCGCTGCTTTCGAGTGCCAAGGATATGACGTGCATGTATTTCATTTTTTTGTTTAATGTAAGTATTATTTAGAATTGAAATAGCTGACTTATAACCATTACATTCTTTTATGTACACATAAACGCTGGGAGATAAGTGATTAATCAAGATTTTTAATTTATGCTCCTCCGTAAACTCACCAATACTTTCTGACAAAAAATTATCGAATGTATATATCCAATGTGTCCATTCTAAATCAGCATCGGTAGAGCTTGGATCTAACTCAAATCTTTCCGGCCGTAGGTAACGCGACAAACTTGTTGAAGCCGGCCCTGGAGTTGACGATATCATCTCGGATTCAAATTTCTTGTTACGGTTTTTTCTTGACATAATTAGTTGTATTTTATTAGTTGAATTAATTGATACAAAACGATATAGACCATAGGGAAATATTGGTTTAATTCAACTAAAAATAACGATACATTGGTATTATTACAGACAATAGTAGTTAGAAAAGGAATGTCACAATCTTAAGTCAATAATAGAAAAACAAACCAGTATTTGTAAAGAGTTTCGTATACTACATTAGTTAAACGCAACCATAGTCTGTATTTCTATAAACGCAGCCTAAGATTTCACCAATAAAAAGTCAAGCTATCAATGGACCATTAAAAAAAATAACTGTAGCCAATAGAATTGATCTATTCATCTCACCGGTCAAATGATGAACTGTGATTGGTTCAACAGTTAAACAGGTGCTATGCGTCATCCGCCATAACGTTGATCTAAAAATTGTGAAAGTACGCTTTCTTACTACAAATAAACTTTATATCACTGTGAAATTGTTAGTAAAACGTGTGTTATATGTGTAATTAAACATGAGTGAGTGGTACAGAATGAAGAATGGATTTAATAACAAGCACAACTCTTCGGAGTTGTCGGTTGAAACTTCTTGTGATATGTCAGACACTTTTCATTTATTTTCCGACAATCTGAGCCCCATACCGGCTTCTATAGTGCCTAGAAAGTTAGACTTTAGCACTTTAAATGACGATGATGGCATAAGGGATGCTTCACCAGCGCCAGCGTCACTGAGCCCTCCGTACAAACGGGTCAGAGCCCTCAGGTAAGATTGCACACATCTAACTATTCCAAAAACACCACTTCCTGTAATTTCTTGCTATTCTTCATTGATGCTTAACATATAATATATCTAAAGTCATAACATTTATCTAAATCAGACATAATATTCAAGTTACAATATTTGCTTACATTACTTTTGTTCATGACTTTATGTACAATGTTCTGAGAGAAACAAGTTTTTAAAAAGTATAACTATTGTTTTTTTTTTTTCATATTTATGAGAATATATTCAATTTTATAAATTACTAAAAAACTTTTTTGTCAACATAATAGTAAAACCAATTAATGACCATGTAATGATTGTATATTATATTACATTTTTAATTTATTGTGACACTAGAAATTTCTAGAATGATACTGGTATAGGGATATATTTATTTTCTTGCTTCATTTGCTTACTTATATATACATTTTCTCATATATACTTAAAGTATCTGTGTATTTGTTGCTACAACTTTGTGTGACCGAGATATGTTTACTAACTAGGATAAAGTGTAGCTCATGACCTTCTCCATCCTATATAGTATGTATATATTAAATCGTGATTAGTTAAGTTATTAAGATGCTAGGAAGTAACAAACAAACAATTTATAATATTAATATGGAATTTAGCAACCTGATTTGCAGCTTATTTACTTATTTGTTTAGATAAATTAATTTGCAATTAGTATAATTATGTTTTAATACAATTCTTACTAATATAATAAATGTATATACAGTAATAACTCTATTATCTAAATCAACTAAAACCAGGCATATTCCATATTATAGAAAATCTTTATAATCAATTACGAAGTTAAATTAAACAATATGCAATAAAATTTTAATATTTTTTTTTTATATGTAAAGGGCTTTATATACATCATTTAGGTAATATGATATAAAAAAAAAATTAAGAGCTATAAAGGTAATGGATTATATAATACCTATTTACCCAATTAATATACAATACCATTTTAAAATAGGTAATTAGAGTTGTGAGGAATAAATCTGAAAAATCAAATATTCAGATAATTCGAGATTCTACTGTAGTTATAAACTAATATTACTTGCTTTATTCTATATCCTCTCAGTTTTAATATATACTAGTGTCCCTTCCCAGTGTCGCACAGTTGGACATTTTTACATTTTAAAAAGTGGCCATTAAGCCTGCACACCCGACGGAAGCTTAAAAATGGAGTAACTTCTCCCATTTTCCTTCACTGTTCTGCTCCTATTGATCGTAGTGTGATGAAAAGTATACTATAACCTGCCCAGGAGTATGAAGTATAATTGTACCAAGTTTTGTTAAAATCCATCAAGTAGTTATTGTTTCTATAACGAACATACAGACAGACAAACAAAAATTTTACTGATTGCATTTTTGGCATCAGTATCGATCACTAATCACCCGCTGATAGTTATTTTGGAAATATATTTCATGTACAGAATTGACCTCTCTACAGATTTATTATAAGTATAGATTATTATATCAGCTGTTATTTGTCCACTGCTGAACATAGGCCTTTCCCATAATGGGAGATTTGACAGTAGTTGCCACACTTGGCAGGTGAATTGGCTACCTTAGTTTGGTTTGATGATGTTTTAAGAGAATTGCTGCTTCCCATCCCTCAACCATTAAAGGAAGGTTTAGTCCATTGTATGTCAGAATCATATAGTGCTTACATCTTGACATATTATTATGAAATTTGGTATACACATACCTAGATAGTATTTGGTATGAAGAAGGACATAGGCTTCTTATTTTTGTTCCATTTAATCAACGTAAATCCATATGTAAATGGCTGTGAAGTCATGGGGAAAAACTAGTTGGATATAATATAATAATAATAATAATTCTTTATTTGGAACAAAAACATTGGTTACAATATTAAAAAACGATGATATCCACAGAAGTATAAAACTGTGTCGCGAATATCAACGGCCTCCTCCTCATTGCAGGATTCCAAGATAAACATTTAAAATGTATGGTAGCTAGTTACATCAATGAAGACATTTTGCCATATCTAGCAACAAAATAAAACCTTGTATTGACTATTACATGTTTATCTTATTTTATAATCCCATTGATGAAGTAATATGCTAATTTTGCTTATGTGCACATACTTCATTTTTAAGCAAAGCTTTCTGTATCTATTTGATCATTGGTTATGATGTCAGTTGTGAATTATAAAACTATTATTTAATAGCTTTTCGTCTATTCATCATCATCGTGTTGATGATGATGAACATTATTCAGCTTTTTCTTATTTCGCTATTTTTCACCAGTCACGGCTGTGATTATGGTAAAATATTAATATATACATGGGCACTGTTATTATAAATTATTATTAATGTGTCTATTGTGCATGCTATATATATGTAGTTTTTTTTTTTATTATTTGTTTTTTAAATACTAAAAAAGGTCGTCATATATGTAATTGAAAAGGACAAATTTTAATTTTATATAAAAATCTTGTCCAGTCATTTATGCTAATATTTAAAACTGCTCAATTGGTTTTAATGAAATTTTGTAAATGTGTATTTTTATTTTATTTTTATTTTATTTTACTTTGAAAGGGAAACATATATCTATAACATATAAAAAAATATACATAACCATAACATAAATCAGTAAAGTTTCCACAATAAACTAAACTAAATAATCGAGAGCAGATGATTATTGATATTATATATGATATTGATGAACATAAAATATATATAATAGTATAAACATACACACACACACACACACACTTGTAAATATGTGCGTATGCATACACACACACTCACACACATACACATACACACATATACTTAACAATAAAAAAAAAAGAAAACAAATATATCAATAACAATTTTAACATGATTTTTCCCTATCCAATTAAACGGGGTTTGCCAGAAGTTCCTCTCTAACGTGTTTTTTATATAAATTTAAATCTTCTCTGAATACATCTAAAGAAAGGAACTGCTGATTATTACAATTGCAAGCTCTTATAAGATACGTATTATTATTATTATTTGTTCAGATTTGATAGATAGAATAGTTTTTTTTTATCTCCATGTGAAAAAATAATGGACCTAGTACATGGTGATAGAAAACAAAACAATTTTTAGCAGGCCAAGTAATGGTCTAAAAAGATTGTAGATTTGGGAATTAATAATGTTAATATAATGTATTGGGGGAAGGGATTGTTGGTAATGGGGAGGTTAGTCCTCATTGCTATCAATATACCGTACCGGGTCGACCTCTACGTGGTTTCCCCTGGAAACCATCATAACTAATTTATCAATGTATTAGTCACGATGGGCTAACTGACCTGCCTATTCATGTTCACCAATCATCTCGCACTGGTACCCCGCTAGTGTATACCGATAGCACAGGTGGGGTCATCATTCCATTATCATCCATTAAATATATATATATATATATATATATATATATATATATATATATATATATATATATAATGTATTTCAAATTATCAACAAAAATAACATGTTTAAACTACATAGATCATTAATAACTAAATAAATAATAATGCTATGCACTTGCTTACATATGTATATATATTGTTGTTTATGATTATATATTAGATTTTTGAGAAATAAACATATATTTATTTATAATTTGTGTATGTTAATTTTATTAGTATTCTATTTATTTTGTAATTAAGCTAAGTTCTTTTATTTGCTTGTACTTTTCCCGCACTAAATTACCTGTCAATTATCTTCTCTCTTATTGCACTAAATTGCCTGGAGGAGATCTGTTTTAGAGATATGCCTACCTTTGTTAGCAAGTTGTTAAACTAACCACTGTATCTTTTATAACAAGTGTACTTATTAATATACATATTAGTTAAACCTTTAAATTTATAGTTAAACGACAGCATAAAGCATCCTGTGGTATCAACAACAACATCCTGTTATTATTGCTGTAGCTATTAGAAAATTTGATAACCAAAATGCTACCATAGACAGTAGACAAGTCAAAACAAGTATCAACTTGTCCATCACATGTCCGAATTCTGTGCGGCGCCAGGTTGTCGCCGACGCCGACCTATAAACAACCGGTTTAACTATAGGCCATTTAAAATTTTTTTTTGCGGTTTTTTAATTGTATGTTTTTTGCTTCATTTCTATCTTGACGACAGCACCCTATATGTAGGTATAAATTATGATCTTTAGAACAAAATAATCTTTGAATAATTTTTTTTTTCTGTAGTGCCAGTACCAGAATATTAATTTTATAAGTAAATTTGACAAGATATTCTATATTTGAAAGTGTAAATTAAAAAAAAATTAGATATTGCATTCAGTTTATGACTGTTATCTGTATAAGAAGTAAAAAGTAGACCATATGTTCCCAATCAGGGTAATATTGTATCAAAACTATTGGGTGCTGATGTCTTCTATATGTCAGATAAACTACTATAATATTTCAAAGCTTTATTTCATATTACTGTGAAATGTAATGGAATGAATTATTTTTATCTTAATAACACCTATTTTGTACAAATGTGAAAGTTTATGAAAATGCATTATTACAGGATTTGTTGAACAATTTTCAATAAGTATAGTGTAGTACAAAAGGCAGTCTTATTGCTAAGCAATCTCTTCCAAACAACCTTTGGGTAGAAGGAATTAAAGAATAGATAAGTAGGTGGCTTATAATAAAAAAAAAATCCTTACCTTATGTTTACCTGATGGAAAGTGGTAACCATCAGTAACTATAGACATAACAAAGTATACTGTATCACCCATGATACCCTTCATGCATTGTCACTTGACTATGTAGTAGAGTTGGGTTATACATACCTAGCAAAATCTATATATTGGCCTAATAAACAGATATATTAAATATGGGTTATTCAATATATAATAAACAGTAGCTGATGCAAATTAATATAGTTATTGTGATGTACTCATTAAAGTTGAGACTGCAAGTCCCCCCGCTCCGGCCACTCCTCGGGGTGACGTCCGGGCGGGTGGTCGTGTGAGTCG